TTCACACTAGGGGGTGAAAAAAGACAATAAAAGGTACAAGGACAAAGAAAGACCGATTTCAGGGCTTAGGGTTAGGGGTTTACATCTCAAAACCCACATAAAGGCCGCCACTATTTGGAGCTTCACAGTAGGGGGTCTAGGGTTTAGGGTTTAAGGTTTAAACTCCCACCTGGGGTCATGCGGCAGCACCACCAATGGCTGAAAATATAAGGGCGGCCCTCTGCATCAACATCTTCTGAAGCAGGCATGGTTAGGAGCTCGGAGTTCCAGAGTTGAACGGAGCGGCAGCAGTGTGAGGAGCTCTGAGTTCCAGTGGTGAGGTGACACACGATTTGTCTCCCTCGCTCACCTAGGGTCATGCGGCAGCACCACCAACAGCTGAAATCCCTCCGCATCAGCATCGTCTGAAGCAGGCACAGCAAGGAGCTCGGAGTTCCGCAGTTGGTCGGAGCGGCGGAGGAGGAAGAAGTGCGACCTGCTGTGGTCGGTCGGTCTGTCTGGCTCACCTGGGGTCATGCGGGAGCACCACTGAGGGCTCTACAGCCTCAGCTGCAGGAGCAGCAGCAGCAGCGTCAGCAACAGGCAGCGGCGCGAGGAGCTGCGAGTTCCAGAGCTGTGAGCGTCTCACCTGGGGTCATGCGGCAGAACCACTGAAGGCTCTACAGCCTCAGCTGCAGGAGCAGCAGCAGCAGCAGCAGCAGCAGCAGCAGCAGCAGCAGCATCAACAACAGGCAGCGCGAGGAGCTCTGAGTTTCGCATCTGGTCAGAGCGGCGGAGGAGGAACAAGTGCAACCCGCTGTGGTCTGTCTGTCTCACCTGGGATCGTGTGGGAGAACCACCGAGGGCTCTACAGCCTCAGCTGCAGGAGGATCAGCAGCAGCAGCAGCAGCAGCAGCAGCAGCAGCAGCAGCAGCAGCATCAACGACAGGCAGCGCGAGGAGCTCTGAGTTTCGCATCTGGTCAGAGCGGCGGAGGAGGAACAAGTGCAACCCGCTGTGGTCTGTCTGTCTCACCTGGGATCGTGTGGGAGAACCACCGAGGGCTCTACAGCCTCAGCTGCAGGAGCATCAGCAGCAGCAGCAGTGGCATCAACAACAGGCAGCGCGAGGAGCTCCGAGTTTCGCATCTGGTCGGAACGGCGGAGGAGGAAGAAGTGCAACCCGCTGTGGTCTCCATACACCTCCACGTTCTGAATGGTGGTGGGGGGGGGGGAGTGGAGAGGGGGAAAAGGCTTTTGAGGAGTCCCATACGGCGAGGAGGTCTGAGTTTCAGAGGTGGGGGGAGCGGCGGCAAGAGGAAGAAGCGCGAGCCGCTGTGGTCTCCATACACCTCCACGTTCTGAGGAAGGGGGTGGGGGAGGGGTGGGGGAGGGGTGGGGGGAAAACGACTTTCGATGGCGAGGAGCTTTGATTTCCAGAGGTGGGGGGAGCGGGCGGAGTAGAAAGAAGCGCGAGCCGCTGTGGTCTCCATACACCTCCACGTTCTGAAGGTGGGGAGGGATGGGGGAGGGAGGAGCAGAAGGGGGATTAGTTTTGAGAATTCTCAAAACTAATCTCAAACAGGAGGGAGGAGCAGAAGGGGGATTAGATGAGAAACGAATCAAGAGGGGGAGGAGGAAGAAGCGCGAGCCGCTGTGGTCTCCATACACCTCCACGTTCTGAAAGGGGTGAGAGAGAGCAGGGGAGAGGCGGAGGGGACAGGGGTGAAGAGGCGAGGAAAAGAGGGCACAAAGGCTCCTGAAGGAGCGGCGGAGGAGGAAGAAGCGCGAGCTGCTGTGATCCCCATACACCTCCACGTTCTGAGGAAGGCGAGGGGGGGAAGGGAGAAATGGGGAGAGAGGATGGGCGGATGCTGCAAAGGGGAGAAGGGAGCTCCAAGCCCTGTAGTTGGGGGGAGCGGCGGAGGAGGAAGAAGCGCGAGCCGCTGTGATCCCCATACACCTCCACGTTCTGAAAGGGGGAGAACGGGAGAGACAAGAGGGTGGAGAAGGGTTGAGAGTGATGATCAGAGGTAAGTGGAGAAGGGAAACAAGAAGGGGAAGAGGGTCGAGCGGTGCATGCAACAACACCAGACCAGCACAACACCCAGTGCAGCAGCCCACACAAGCGGCGCAATTCAGTCTTCCACTACTCACATGCACTTTTAAGACGAGTTGCCTCGGAGGGTCGAACGGCCTTTGAACGTCAATCGACAGCAGAAACGAAGTCACAGCTGACTTGCATGTGCAACCTCATGCACTGTGCTAGTGCTCACATGCACTCTTGGCACAAATCCCCTGGGAGGGTCGAACGGCCGTTGAACGTCGATTGCCAGCAAAATCGAAGTCACAGCTGATCCACACACCACCCCACCACCCTACGCAGCAACAGCCTATGCAGGTGGTACTCACATGCACTCTCGGCACAAGCTGCCTGGGAGGTTCAAACGGCCTTTGATTTGAACGTCGACCCACACACCACCACCACACCACCTTATGCAGCAACAGCCTATGCAGGTGGCACTTACATGCACTCTTGGCACAAGTTGCTTGGGAGGGTCAAGCGGTCTTTGCACGTCAATCGCCAGCAGAAAGGACGTCACAGCCGACCCACACGTGCACTGCACTATTACTTACATGCACTCTTGGCACGAGCTGCCTTGGAGGGTCGAACGGTCTTTGAACATCGATTGCCAGCAGAAAGGACGTCACAGCCGATCCACATGTTATCATAATGAATCGGTCCGAAGACGTGCGGTGAACACCAACGTCAAACGCCTCGTCCTTTTCGAAAAAGACGCAAGCGTCCTGAGAGACCGGCGTGCCGATGACGTGGCGCATGACGGAGCACGGGCGGTCTTTTTCGTCCTGAGCGACGTAGAAGAGTGTCTGGTTGTCGTCCGCCCAGCACACCTCCCCACTTGTACCAAACTCTGCTGTTATTACGTCTGCATCTGCTGCTGCTGCTTCTGCTGGTACTGTTGATAGTGCTGCTGCTCCTGGTGTTGCCCGGCCTTCAGAAGTTCTTCCTGCCACTTCTTCTGTCACTCTTTCTGCTCCTTCTGATGTTCCTCCTGCTGCTGCTGACTCAGCCGCTGCTGACTCAGCGGCTGCTGATTCAGCTGGCACTGACGATACTGCTTCAGAAGCGTCACTCATATCGGAAGAAAGTACTGCTGAAGCCGCAGCAGCAGCAGAACTAGAGCAAATAGGCCGCACATGGATAGCGTACCTCTCATCCCCCCTCGTGTCAATACTATACGCCACGAACCCATGGTTTGGGCTCACAACAACACTATCAATGTGGAAGAAGCTCCGCCCCTCCGCCTCCCTGTTCTCCTCTAAAACTACCTCCTCCAAAACCCCTTCATCCATGCTCTCCGAAAAATAATCCCTGGATTCGCAGGGTTGAGTTGCTGCTGCAGAGTTCGCAGCCGCTCTCCTGCAGTGGATGGGATACTGTTTACCCTCCTCCTCTCGGGTGTAGTACCAGAAATTACCCTTCCTTAGAGGAACACTCCTGTCCTCCTGCTTCACTCGCGCTTTCATCTCCCCTTCCAGCCGCACACGCAGGGACACTCCCTCTCTCTCTCCCTCTCCCTCTCCCTCTCCCTCTCCCCCTCCTTGGTGTTTTTGAGAATTCTCAAAAACACCCTGCAGCATCTCCCCTTCCAGCCGCACGCGCAGGGACACTCCCTCTCTCTCTCTCCCACCTCTCCTTTCTCCTTTCTCCTCTATACACGCCATGTCTCCTTCACCGCATGATGAAGGCAATAGCGCATCGGTATACGCGTTCTCTGCCGCCAAATGCGCCAGGACTTGCGGATTCTCGCGCCTCTCGTCCCTGAGCCAGTGGTGGGGGTCGTCCCGCACGTCTCCAAACATTGGAGGGAAGGAGAATGGCACCTTGGCGCACCTGGTGAGGAGAGGGGTTACAGGCACATTTGTGTTACTCTCATCGCCTCTTATCTCTCAGCCAGTGGTGGGGGTCGTCCCGAACGTCTCCAAACATTGGGGGGAAGGAGAAGGCGACCTTGGCGCAACTGATGGGGGGAAGAGCAGGGGGAGCGGCAGGGGAGGGCGGAGAGCAGAGGGAGAGGGGGAGGGGGGAGAAAAGAGCAGAAGCAGTGAGGGGGGTTAAAGAGCCAGTGGGGTGGGGGGGCGTCCCGCACGTCCCCAAACATCGGGGGGAAGGAGAATGGCACCTTGGCGCACCTGATGGGGGGAGGGGCGGGGGAGGGGGAAGCGGGGAGAGGGGGAGGGGGAGGGGGGGAGAAAAGGGGAAGGGGGAGGGAAAGGTGGAGAGGGCGGGGAAGGGGGGAGGGAGAAGGGGAGGTGGCGGGAGAGGGAAGGGGGAGGGGGGTAGGAAAGGGAATCAGCAAGGGGGGTGGGAGCGGCGGAGGTAGGGGGAGCAGGAGGGAGAGAGGGAGAGGGAGCGAGGGGAGGGGAGGGGTTTAGAAGAGGCGAGGAAGAGGGGAGGAAGAGGGGAGGAAGAGGGGAGGAAGAGGGGAGGAAGAGGGGAAGGTGAGAGAAGGAAGGCGACCGGGAGGGGAAAAGTGAGGTGGAGGGGAAGGGGGAGACGAAGGAAGAGGTGAATGGGAGAGGTGAGGGCAAGAGCTGAGGGGGAGAAATAAGGGGGAGAGATGATTTTTGAGTCGACTCAAAATTCGACTTACTACACGGGGGAGGCCTCGTTGGCACCCCTGCTTTCATAATGCGCATTCACATCACAATGCACTTAAACCCCTATCATAATCCCCCGTCCCATGCTTCTTGCTGAATCGCCTCCATGAAAAGAAGTGCTTGCTATCAGTCAGATCGGGAGCGCTTACATGGGAGCCTCTTTTGAGACGCCTCAAAAGTCGCTTACATGGGAGCCTCTATTTCTTTCGCACGCCTCCAGAACGCGCTAGAACCCCCATCATTCGCCATAGCAGCCTCCCCTTTACCGCCCCTGCCGGTCAGCCCAGAAGCTTTTCTACACTGCCCGATCGAAACTGGTTCGAGGGCGAGGGAGTCAGATATTTCCCGCGGATCTCGGTCTGAGCTGGCACTGGCGCTTGCTGACGCAGCAAGGGGGGGAACGTTGACGGCTGCAGAGACACGGTGTGGATCTGGTCAGGACAGTTGGGAAAGGGAAGGGGGGAAGGAAAGAGGGCTTTTGAGACGCCTCAAAAGTCTACCACTGCCACTGCTGGCGCAGCAAGGGGGGGATATTGACTGTAGTAGAGACACGGCACGAATCTGGTGATGGTGATGACAGTTGGGGGAGGAGAGGGGGGAAGTGGGGGGAGGGCGGAAGTAGGAAGAGAGGGGAAGTGGGGGGGAGGGGGAGACGGCTGTTGAGATGTCTCAAAAGTCTATCCAGGGGTATGCTTACAGGCAAAGGGGAGGGGGAGGGGGCGGGGGGGGGGGGGGGGATGCAGAGGGTGGAAAGCGGGGATGAAAGAGGGGAGGGGAAGGATGTTGGGGGTTTGGATGATGAGAGGTAGAGGCGAGTTGGAGTGGGGGGCAGGGGAGAGGGGGGGGGGGAAAAAGAGAGGACAGGGAAGCGAGTTGGCTCTTCCCTCCTTCCCAGGAGGGAAGGGCGATCGAAGAGGGGAGGGGAGGGGTGCTGGGGCTTGGATTGGATGATGAAAGGTGGAGGCGAGTTGGAGGGGGGACTTAGGGGGGAAGGGGAGGGTTTTTGAGACGTCTCAAAAACCCTCTTTTATCCATCATCCAGTGGATGATGAGAGGTGGAGGCGAGTTGGAGAGGGGGCTTGAGGGAGAAGGGGAGGGAAACAAATGGGACAGGGGGGTGAGCTGGCTCTTCCTTCCTTCCCAGGAGGGGAGGGCGATGGAAAAGAGGAGAGGAGGGGTGCTGGGGGCTGGATGATAAGAGATGAGGCGAGTCGGAGGGGGGAATTAGTAGGGGGGAGAGGGAGGGGGAGGGAAACAAAGGTGACGGGGGGCGAGTTGGCTCTTCCTTCCTTCCCAGGAGGGAAGGGCGACGGAAGAGGGGAGGGGAGGGGGGCTGGGGGGATGATGAGGAGGCGGGTTGGAGGGGGGCTTAGGAAGGAAGGGGAGGGAAAAAAAGCGGACTGAGGGGTGAGTTGACTCTTCCTTCCTTCCAGGAGGGGAGGGGTGCTGGGGGGATGATGAGGAGGCGAGTTGTAGTGGGGCTTAGGGGAGAGAGGGAGGGCAACAAAGGGGACAGGGAGGCGAGTTGGAAGGGGGCTTAAATGTGGGGAAAGTGGGGGAGGACCGATGGGGGACAGAGGGGCGAGTTAATAGCTCTTCCTTCTTCCTCCTTGGAAGGGAGGAATTAGGGGACGGAGAGAAAATGAGAACAAAAAAGAAAAAAATATCTAGTTAAAAATAAAAATAAAAAAACGAACTAATCTAGAACTGATAATGCAAGTGGAAACAAAATATATACCAACGAGAAAGTATGTTATTTTCAAAACTATTTCGCCATTCATCAAGTTCATTCTTGCCATGTCCTCGTTGATCCTCGTTGTTCTGAGGCAGAACCACGTCACATTGTTCCCAGATGCACCAATCACTGTCACGATAATGAAGTTATAATGTGGTGCTGTAATTGAATTGCAAGCCAACGCGAATGATATAGCCTATCCTTACCGCCAGAGATAGGCGACGGCTGTTGCGGCGGGTGTTTGTTATTCAATAATGTTTGTTGTGGTGATGGCAGGATTTTTGTTAAGCGACCTGGGATGTGATGGGATCTGAAGGCAATAGTAGGTAGCCTGAGCAACCTCTCGAAATGGATTGTCGTCGTCGCAATTGGCTTTGAACAACGACGGGCGATGTTAAAGTTTCCTTCGTTGATTATGCAAGTAACGGAAAATCGGGATAAAGTGGAGCTCACAGTCACGACCATGGTACACTAACTTTGTGAATGGTCAGGTCAGCTTTTACTCGGTGAGATAGGACGTGAGGGGAAATGCCAGCAGGGCAGGGATTCCCCTGCTTTGAGAGAAGTTTCACGCGTCTAGGGTTGAACGGCTAGTTGAGAAACTGGGGAGGAAATAGGGGAGCGGAGGATGCTATGTTGGCAGGGTAGGCGATTCCTCTTCTCACTAGTCAGCACACGCGGTTTGCTATACTTAAAGTTTCTGTTATGGTACCAGTACCTCGGATTACACTAACACACTCTTGTCGCCTTTGACAAAAAAAAAGTGCCTTGTACTGGCGTTTAATCCAATGCGTGAGTAGTTTGAGGCCACATGTTTCTTGGTATTTTTCTCTTTTCTTATCAAAAAGTTCGTTCATCACGAGTGGCGGAGGTTGCATTGAATTCATCGAGGAACAGCTGCCTTTCGTTCATTGTGACGTGCGCTCCAGAATTCCGTTGACCAATCGCTGCGAGTCTTGCGGTCATCCTCATCTTCAAGTAGCGGCGGCGGAAAAATGATTCCTCGGGATTGCTGCACGCGTGGCGTGACGAGACAGCAATTCTGTGTCGTCGGTTACCCAGTCTCCACAGAACGCGCAAACAATGCCGTGCAACTCGTCTCCATAGGTTGGTCGGCGATCCGTCCAGGTGCCACAAGTCTACTGTACACATGCCCCTGGGGGAGAACGAGGGGCTTGGCATGGAAAAAGGGGGGTCCTTTCTGCTGGGACAAGTCCTGGGAGATTATACGGGCAGTCACAATTGAGGCCGTTTTGTCGCGTTTGGTTACAGGGCTATCACAAACAGTCACAGTACAGTAGATTCCTATCGCTGGTGATCACAGTGCTATCACGGATGGTCACACCTCGCCTCTAAAAGCTATCACGTTTGGTCACTCAATGAAACGACATTGAGGGCGTGGAACATCCTTTTGAACAAGGCGATGGTCGCCCAACAGTGACAGTAATCATTGTTGCGACCATCGCCATTGACCTACGAAGCAGACTGACGAAGACTGCCTGAAGAACGCACGTTCCACAGCTTATGCTTGTTGGTCGCCCCACCCGTTGAACCTCGCAGATAAGACAAGAAGTGGAGACGTCGGGAAAAACATGCGAAATGAAACCAGGTGTTGTCGTGAGTGACGTGCTGCGACCCAATTTGCAGCACGGTGTTTGACGAAGCAGGCGCTTTCGTGTATCATCGCGACTCCGTATTTCTGGGCGACCAAGTGTTTCCAACTTGGGATATGGGGTTTTGCGTGTTACCTAACGAAAACCATTGACGAGACAAATGTTCGACCAGAGAGCCGACGGGACACTTGTTCACAAGGATGTTCCACGCTCTAATTATTTTGAAACCACAAAAGACACTGTAGCAATTTTGGGGAATTACATTTTATATTGCTTGTTACCTCGCACATCATTTTAGCCTGTCATTTAGGGGAATGAAGAAAAACATAAACCCCTAAATGATTGCACGTTCTTCGGGAGGCATCAACCCTAAACACCATGAGACAAGGTGTTTAGGGTTGATGCATCCCGAATTAAATTCCATCCGAACGGGTTTTTGTTTTTTTTTGTCTTGGGACAGAAATTGTCTTCGATATTACCCGTCTAAAAGTGATATTCTTAGGGTCATTGGGCATCATTCGAACATAGGACAATCAGATAGTAACAAGAATTTGCAGATGTTTCTAATGGGTTACCGAGAGTTGTCGCAAAACTATTTCGTCATACTACGGACAAAACGGCGCGCGTGAGAAAACTTTCCTTGAATCCCTACAGTGAGTTGAGTAGTTTCAACTTTTCATCGACCGTTTCAGCGAGTGACCAAACGTGATAGCTTTTTGGGGCGAGGTGTGACCATCCGTGATAGCACTGTGATCACCCGCGATAGAAATCTATTTTACTGTGACTGTCTGTGATACTCCTGTCACCAAACGTAATAAACCGGGATTAATTGTGACTGCCAATATAATTTCTCAAAGATCCTTGCTCTCATTGACAGAAAAGTGAACAGTTTTACGCGGAACCGATGGTGAAAGGTATAGGGCAGACAGTCTGATTTTTAGTGTAGTTCCACCATTCATTGCACATTGGATCATAATAGGATCATAATAAGGTCATTAGTGTTTGAGGAAACAGGTATCAGTGCTTTACCAATACACATGTGAAATTCAGTAATCGATTGAAAAAAATATCGAAGAAAAGCATTTTCTACAAAAGTGTCATGACACGGGCGGTATGCCCTACCAAGAGAGACGCGGAATTGAGAGGAAGGACATGTCCTCTCCAACAGACACCACCCAGCCACAGTTATTCGTCTGTTGCGAAGCAGGATCCTAGCAGAACATCAAACCAATGCCACGCATGCTCATGAAGCTTGACAGCTGGACATTCTCTGGCCTCCTGCAACCGCTTGGCGCAGCTTGCATTCCAACCTGCAAAAACCCCTGCTACAGTTCAATGTAAGTTGGACATGTCAAACAGAGCCGACAGACAGCCAACACTGTACAGTGATGCGCCAGACAGCGCATATTGAGTGCTCATATCCAGGAGGTTTCGCACAGCCTGAGAATCCAAAACGATGACATCATGATGACAATAGCTGTTGGGTAACTGTAGCTGTTAATGCTTTCATGGCTGTGACAATTTCTGGTACACCCTGTTTCGCGCCACACTGACATTCGCTGTATGAACAGGCCATTTATTCTGACATCAACGCGTCCAAAACGGTCCCAGAACATAGCATATAAGCACAATTTGCCGCACTCAACCGTTCGCGATAGCACTTTTTTCAGTCATAAGCCCCGTTTTGTATCGTTCAAATAGACTGCATTTGCCCGCCACCTAGGGTTCGGCTGCAAGCACCAGCCCGCAAAATCCAAGCACACGTTCGCACTGTAGCTTGGGCTCCCGATTGTCAGACGTTGAGAAACAGGGGATGATATACCTCAGCGGCCAAAAAACGCCGCCCAATTTCGCGGTTCAGAAGGGACAACGGCCCCCCTCGGGATTGACGAGCTCGCGACGACCTCCGAGCTCCAAACTGGACCCAAATGGCGTCCCAGTGGCCTCGGGAGCCCTCGGGAATGTCGACAATCCGACGACATAGGTTTGCGCTGGGAGATTCCTGTGAAGTAAATCTCAGCGGACAAAATAGGAAAGCTCGCCACGTCAAGCCGCGACGGCCGCCACGCGGACCAATAGGGGGGATCCAGACCGTCCCCACCGTGTACTAGGCTGCCACGACGTGGCCGTCGTGGCCACGCGTCGCTCCAGCGGTGATTTTCCCAAAGCGGGAAAACGTTCACACCTTTGAAAATGTCAGAGCGCGATCCATGCGACAAAAATCGGACCGTCCAGGATGTAACTGTTCTGTGGCATCGCGAGTTGCACGCGATGTCGGTGTCGACCAATTCATCCAAAGGCCCACAACCAAGCCACGCGGCACAATCTCAACACTGTCTAGGTTCAATGAACCTAAAGAAACAATCAAGCGCGCCGATTGTAAGTCGGCGCCGATCTTCGGGCGCCCACGCTAGGACTGCCACGGTGGGCTTCAATAAATCCGGGACCCTGGGAGATTCGAGTCGGCATGCTGTAATTTCGGTACTGAAAGGCCAATGTCGGCCCCAAGCCACGTAACACACGCCCATTCCACCGTGGAAAGGGCCTGGCTTACGCCCCTTCGGTGCAGCGCGAAGTAACATTAGCCATGCTTGGCACGTGGCACTTCGGGCAGAGCGCCGCCTATGCGAGAACACATGCACGGCGGCAGTAGCATAAGGGTGTGCGTGAAGCGCGGCAGCATCGAAGTCGCTCAGGACCATACCCGTCCGTGACCGTGCGGGCCTGCTCATTCCCATGTCCGTTCCTGCGTTTCTTCATGCTCTCTCGTGCACTTAGAATTTTCAGCTGCCAGTCTGTCATCGCGCCTGTAGGTTACTCGGTTGCCGACTTGGTCAGTAGTAGTCGACGTCGACGTCTGCTGTTTTAGCGAAACATCGGTGCAAGTCGGCGACGCATGGCCAGAGGTCGCCCTAGAGCCCAACAGCCGCAACCCATTCCACCCCCCGCCGACTCTGTAGACGCCGACATCAAAGCGGAGCTGGAACGGCTCGAGGTCGAAGCCGAGTTAGACTCACTCGACCGAGAATTCGAAGAAGACCGCCGCGCAACTCTCCGGGCGTTCACCACACCCGTGACTCAGTACCGTCTTTGGTTTACCAACCCCCGCAATCTCGAGGTCGAACACGAGTTAGACGTTATTGAACGTTATCTAGAGGAAGACCGCCGCGCTACTCTTCGGTCGTACACCGCACCCGTGAATCAGTACCATCTCTGGTTTACCGGCCTCCGCATCGCACACGGACGACGGTAGAGCAACATACGTGCTGCCACATGGCCGACGTCGACATGACTGATGCTAGACCATCCACCGACCACACTCCGACATCTACCGAGGAAGAGACGCTCCCCTTACTCTACGATCTTGACAAGCTGACGCAGATTCCAGAAGGGGAGTTCACCAAGGACATTCCCCCACCGCCGATCGGGGAGTTTAACAAGAATAAAAAACAGAATCCGACGCGAAATGGACGGCCAGGAACTTCGTCGGCACCGGCCGGCTCTGGAAACCAGGTTGAGGTCGATGAGGAGGAGGATGGGGGGGAGGAGGAGGAGGAGGAAAGCGATGACGAAAACGACGAGCGTCCGCCGCGTAGCACTAGTCAGCGCACCTTGGAAGAACGGCTCAGGCGGGAACTTGAATACATAGATGATCTGCTCGAACAGGACGAGGATGCCGACCAGGAGAATTTGTCGGTGCCGTGCGAACAGTGGAGGGCGGCAGACTTCGTCGAGGAAGACATGGTGTACGCGACCATCGACGTGCTCGTCTTGGACGCCCTACGCCACCTGCAAACCGTGGAGAGGAACAGAACGCTGAGGCAGTACACCTCGTGGATCTATCACTACAAGAGGTGGGCGGCGAAGATGTTGAGGCAAATTCGCAACAAGCTTCCGCAGAAGTACAGGCTTAAGCACGTCGACGAGATGGGGCACTACATCCGGGACAACAAGAAGAAAAACTGGGACCAAGAGGCCGATGTCCCCCGGTCGTACGTGTGGCTGCACGGCCCTAGGGTCACCAAGTCCCGGCTTCGCGCATACGTGAAGTACATGGTTCGGGAGTTGAATCTCGATGCCGAGTCCAGCAAGAAGGGCGACAACGCCACAGGAACACAGCCTGTGCAATCTATGTCAGGCTTATATGACTTAGCCTATGTAGGCTATAGTGGGGTAGCACATATGGGGTACAACACATTTCTAGGGTTTGTACTTGTACCCAACTTTCCCTTAGTCATTCTCATTCCTCGTTTCTTATCATGGTATCGAGCAGGTTCCCTAGTGGGAACGCTTCCTAGGGCCCACCACGATATATTTTTTTTCCTGCCCGGAGCGCGCTTCGCTCCTGCCCGAGTCGCGCCCCGTGTGCCCTCCCTACCGTCGCGCCCTCTCACGGCCCCTTTGCGTCGCCCTTAGCGGCCCCTATCACGGCCCCTCGCGCCGCCCTTACGGCCCCTCGCGCCGCCCTTACGGCACCTCGCGCCGCTCTTAC